AGGAACAGAGATATGTGCAGCAGGACTGGGGATAGGAAAGACTTGGCCTTGCCAGCAGCTGAAAGCAACTACATTTCTGGGGGGACAAGTTGCTTGTGTTGCAGCAAGGGGGCAAGACTGAGAAGCAAGCAGGGTCAAAATCTCCCTCCTACCTTCGGGAAAGAGGAAAATTCTGATGTTAGGAGCACAGATTCAAATGGGAAGCAGATCTGGGACATCACACAGTGGGTGGTTCCCCTCATATATAACAGGACAAACATACCTTTTCCTTCTTCTGTACAGGTCTGTAGTAAGCAGCTGCGGTGAGAATAATGATATGCATGGTATAGACAAAGAAGTTGAAGTAAAATAAGTGTTTGACAAACCGGTCCCACTTGTCTTGCAGCAGCCTGTTAAGGGGTTCCACCAGCAGCATCTCATGACGGTTCTGAGTGGAAGGAGAAAGAGGAGAACCATGACGGGACCAGTACGTACCGGGCTCTGGAAACAGCAAATGATACTCATCTTGAGCAAATGTTCCCTCTAGTACCCTTAAACTCAGGAAGGGAGATTGTGTGCAGTGTCCCAGCCTGCGAATAAAATGCCAAGGAGGTGCATACTCACTGGTGTTTCACTACTGTAGGCAATAATCTCAAGCACTGAATTTTTCTCGCATGTGTCTATACAGGACAGGTCATAAAGAGATGAGTGGACAGGTCCATAAGCCCATTCAGTGAACTTCCTAGACAAGTGTCTGCACTCAGGATCTTTGATCTCTCGTCTGAGGATGTAAGCGAAAATCTAATTGCAAAAGAACAATACAACCAACATTTCAGTGCTAATGGACTTCTACTTTCCCAGTATCTCCACAAGACAGGATGGCTAATTTCTCCCTAGTTTAACTGTGCTGAAGTCAACCCACTGAGGCGCTGCAGAGATCAAAGTCTGAAGTAAACAAAATTAATTTTCTCACTGGATGCTGGAAGATGAGAAATACAAATAGCACTTACAACTTGCCATCATCTGTTTCAAAATTGCAAGAGAAAAACAGAGATGTATGTTACACATCTCTGACCATACAGTCATTTTGAATGGATACTGCCAGGAGATGAGTTATATCAGCCAGTCCAAAGTACAAGACCTCTAGCAGTTCAGACGACAGCCGAGACTCACCTTCTGTTTCCGCCTGGGCTGCCTTGCATTCCAGTGGTATATGAATAATGCCAGCTGGGCACAGACACATACATACTTCGTAGCCTTTAAGGACTATGCAGTTGTGCATGTTAAATTGCAGCAACAGTTTCTCTTAACTAAAAGGCCCCAACAATAAGCAGTGATAAAATCTGTCCTGCATAAATGTTTTGCATGTACTCTGTGTAACTTGATACAGTAATGGGACAGAAACACATTTGCTCACCTACCCCTATCTTCCCTGTTTTGGCTGCAAGGGTTAATGGAGTCAGCCCTTTCTTGTTGGTGAGTTCTTCTAGCTTCAGGATTGGATTAATTTTGGCACCAAGGATCAATATGTTATTGTACATCTTGGTCACAAACTTGGTATTATCCTTAGTATTATCTGCAATCTCCACCAATGTGTGCAGGACCATATTGCCCATGGAGTCCTCAGCAGCGATGTTGGCTGCCTGGTAGGGGTTCTCAAGGAGGAATTTCACAATGCAGAGCTGGTTGGTGCAGGCAGCCAGGGACAAAGGCAGCTCCCCTACGGGCACACAATGGGAATGAGTGGTCAGAAAGCCCATTACTACATGTGCATAAACAGAAAAGATCATGTTGTTTTCATCTTCCACCATGAGAAGAGGTGAATTTCTCTGTCTGATATAGCACTAATTCTTGTGACAGCTGTTAGAATCACATTTCCTCCAGTTTACATCACAGAAACATGGCTGCTTAGAAAAGCGCTGAAAGGAGAGCTAGCATAAGGCTCAAAATTTCAAAGGATACAGTGCCCAGAAAACAAAGAGATGCAGACACCAAACTCACACTGAACACCATCAAACTACCAACTGTGTTTCTTTATAATCTCAGCCTTTGGGAGTAAATATTTGGACTAAGTGGTGGAACAGCCCGTCTGGTACTTCTGAACCTCCAGTTGCACATACACGATTATTTAACAGCTTGCACTTGGAATAATGCTGGGATAACACCAATCAATAAAGCTCATACTGTGCTTGCTCCTACCAAAATAAAAGCCAGGCTTCCCTTTGATTTTCCTGAAGAACTCCCCACAGGCTCTTGCATGAACATCTGCTCCATTCTGGACCAAGAGCTTCACCAGGTACATGTTCCTTCTCTCAATGGCAATGTGAAGCGCAGTCTGGCCTACAGAGACACTCATCAGACAGAAATCTTCAACATTTAATACAGATTGAGAGCTTTCAGGCACCATGATTCATTCAGCTCCGTGTAAGATGGTGGAACTGAGAGCTTTGCAGACTAAAAAGCTTGAGAAGTGAACAAAAAAAGATGGCACAGACAGCAAATGCAAGTCTCCTGAACTTCCTATTAAATCACCGTATATCAAAAATGGCAGAATATTACACTTAACAAAACACTGCCCTAGCATGAATGCACTGATTGTTAATCACGCGCTGCAACTTTGGGGTTGGCTGCGTCCTCAGGCATAAAGCCTCATGCAGAAGACTGTTTGAGAGCCCTGCCTAACCCCATCTTCAGTCTTAGCACCAAGAGTACTTTCTACAACACTGTAGTAGCCATTTCTCTTACCCTTGTAGTAGTTGTCAGTATACTCTGCATTAACAAACTCTTTCAGAGTTCCAGTTTTCCTTGCAATATCCAGCAGCAAGGGAATGGTATCATTTTTCCCATCATGTAGATTCAGCATGGCTTTCAGTAAGCAGGTTTTCCCAGTTTCTGGCTCTGTAACACAAAAAATTGCAGCTACATAGAAGTGATTACAAATCTACCATCTACACCCAGGCATGCAGGAATTAATGAGGTTCCTTTCAAAAGACAAGAAAACTCCTTCAGGCTTTCACAGAAAATTTCAATTTTTCTGAATTCTCCTGTAACCTTACAATCAATGGATTGCCCAATCAATAAGGAAGTACTGGCTATTAGAGGACCTCCTGCAGAGACTTAACACAATTATATTTCTTTATTTTCATCTCAAGAGCACTACTGGAAGAAGAGGGCAACTTAAGGTATGTGACACTAAAGGGTACCTTTGAACTCATCATCTGTGAGATGCTTCAAGGTTCTATTAAGGTAGAGTAGCAGATCATCCAGGTCCCTTGTGTTGCCTTGGGCTACAGCATCAAAGATCCTTCTGCGGTCATAAAATTTGAAAGCTTTTTCTGAGCAGCCTGTGATGGACTCTGTAGATAGGAGCCTATAGAAGGGTAAATTTCAGTTACTTAAAGTCAGATATTTAGCTGACTTTTTATAAGCTACCAGAATACTATTTTTCATTTGCTTCTGTGACATAGTAAGCACTACAGATTAGTATAGATGGATCTGCAAAGTCCACAAGATCAACAAAGTCTGCAAGCAACTGTCCTGATAAAATTATGTGTCCATTGCTGAAAAGTTGAGAAAAAGACTTAAAAGAGGCATTGAAGTATGGCAGTCTAACTGCCGGCCTGGGAGCCAGGCAATCCCATGTTCTCATTCTGAGTGATGTCCATTCACTGAACAGTCTCACGCAAGTGAATTAAGGCCTACCGCTAATTGTGGGCAAAATATCCATGGACTGTATTTTCAGACATGCCAAGAGACAACAGCTATTGTCTTTTTCAGATGCAACACTCCTTATTTTGGCATAGAAAATAGTGAAACTGAAAAAATGGGCACGCTTATGTGGAGAGAATAAATGCTGCTCCAAGAAACACAGTCTGCGGTTGCCAAACTGTGCATTACAACCAGATCTTACAAGGCAAACTTACTTGTGAAGTTTCCCCCTCTCCAAATTGGCATGAAATTTGATGACAGAAGGTGCCATCAGGTGATCCATCTGGTAAAAGGAGTCCATGGGAGCCATGTCCTTGTCACTATCCCCCATCACAAACCGCCCACGTCTTGCAAAGATGTTGCTTTTGGGTGGCTGCACCTTGGTGCTGAGTGTACCCTGGAGGCTGTCAGGTGTTTCCAGCATGGAGTCCTCCCCATCCGTGTGTTCATCTGTCACTTCAGATTCCTCCATGTCAGAACTGCCAAATTTCTTCATCTTCCCAAGGATGGAAGACATGATGAGCAGGCAGTCTGTGAGGAATGACACAAACACCTCAAGTCAGCACTTTATGGTGCCAGGTTTTTTCCCTTTCGCCTAGGATTACTCTTCAGAAACAACAGGGAATGAATTGGTTGCTCTCATCCCTGAAGTGAGACAGATGAACACATATTCATGATGCCCAGAGTTGGAACTGTTTACTAGGTTATTATCTCCACACTGTTAGTGTCCCCACTGCCCTTCCCCATTTCAGAATAGAGAAACCAAGCCAGAGTGTCCCAGAGCTTGTCAGCCACCTCACCGCAGAGCTGACCGTGTCTGCTTAAAACTAGTGCCTCATCCTCCTCCGATTGTTGTTAAAGCCTGAACAATCTCAAACCCTGAACAATCTCTGCTTGTCTCCTCTACGTTCTAATGGTTTTGTGGCACAATATATTCTCGAGATTATATCAGGCATGTGAAAAAAGCCTGCTTGTGCCATAACCGTATCTCAATGATGCTGAGCACAGACAGCTTCTTGCATATAGAAAAATTATCACTTAATGGCTTTACCAGAGTTACAGCAGTGCTAGATGAAAATTGTGGCATGTGATTCTTGGGAGATTAGCGTCACCTCAAACATGATACACGGAAACAGAAAGGGAAAGGTTACCACGTATCAGAGATGACTAAGACCACACATTTGATCTTGTCTGATTTACAACCACAAAGAATTTGACACGAGTAACAAATATACTATACTAAAAGTAGAGCAGGCTGCTTCTTTTTTTTTTTCTTATCAAACTTTTTTAATCAAACAAATGTTAGTCTTCACGCCACTGAATGCAAAATATTCTGAAACTGCAGCAGTGGAGACAGGAACACACCATATTCGAACTGCTGCATAGCTGGCTTTTAGAAAGAGCAGAACAGCCTTAGAAACATACTCCGAAATCCTAGATTGCTTCGAAATCTTACGGCTTTGAGCGCAGGAGTGTTACAAAATCTTTAAAAAGCCTTCAATAATAAACCTAATTACAGTGGTCAGTAATGTTCTCTGTACAATCAGTGTGAAAACAATGTCATAAACATGCTTCAAGGTTGTTTCTCTTCACAAAAGTATTCTGAGGGGTTGTCTGCAAACCCACATTGCACATTAAAGCTAGATTTTCAGTTCTATGCGATTAGTTAATATTCACATTAAGGGTCACTTACATTTTCCTGTGCGAGTAGGATAGGAAAAAATCTTTTGTCAGGCATTTGCATCTTCTATAATTTTGTACAACATACATGTAAAGAAAACACTGATTTGCAAACTTGCACATTTAGGGTTACTGGAAGCAAAACAGTGTAATATAGACAAAATACTAATGACTGCAGTTTAACTCGCTATGTCCTCTGAGCTCACCTTTCAAGTTCTTTGTGTCCTTAGAATCACGCTGAAAGAATAACATAATATCTTATTAACTTCATTGTTCTATAAATAAGAAGTTATATCTAGAAAAATATTTCCATTTGGAATATGGTACTAAAAATACAGAAGAACAATTACTTCAGTGAAAAATAGTTATTAGTTATTAAAATAGTTTTATAAATATGGAAAAAATACACTGGTAATACAGCCATGAATAATTTTAAATTTTTGTCTTATTTAAATTAACATGGATTGAGCCAAAAATGTCAGAGAGGTGGCTATGGAAAATGGAATCCCTTATTTTCCACAGAATAGGTGCATTATTAAAATCTGCAGAATAGACTCAATCCCTCTCCAAATTGCTCAAACCTGGTTTAGTCACTATATGTCCTTTCATTTCTAATCCCTGCTGGTAATATCTTTGATAATGAAGACAAAGCCGCATTTCCTCATGAGTATGAATTTGCAAGGGAAATAACCTTCAAAATTCTGTGGAAGGATTCTTTTTAAAAAAAAAAAAATCTATCCTAAAAAATGTATGACCTACTTCAACTCTTTGAATCCTACATACATTGATGTTTGATACAACAAATAAGGAAATATTTTTGATAGAACGTCTAACCACATCACAACTTAGAGTAAATACTGAAGAGAGTTTACAAATAACTAATAACCATGTTATTCAAATATACATGCAGAACTTACAAATACTGAAAAAAATCCTGTCTTCCACAAAATAGTCCAGCCTCAGTAAACACCCTCTGATCTATAGGAATTTCGTGCTGGATATTCCTCCTCCAAGGTGCCTGGACTGAAAAGACCGCCGAGGTTGCTTCTCCACTTCATTTGTCTGCAAAAGTGTTCTATGTGTCTGGTGATTTTTAGAATCAAGGGAAGTTCACTAGAAGAACAGGGAATAGAGTAATAAAATCATTACGAACAATTCTGGAACCAGAAGCATCAGTAGCTTCTATTCCCAGGAGTTTAGCAAAGCTCTTTACCAGAATTGCAGTAAGTTGCTGTTGATTTTCCCTCCCCTTTAATTGCATTTAGTAATGGATATTCTTCTCCAGATTTCCTCTTTGTAAACACACTCAAGCTTGCAAAAAAACCCCAAACCACCAGACAATTGTTTCTGTGGGTCACAGTTTCATTTCAATCTACAAGACTTTGTAAAATATGCCACAGCTCTTCTCTGAGACATCTTTGTTGGGTGGCTGCTGTAAAGCCCTACCAAGTATTTTAAAGATAAGCTGATTCTGAACAGAGTTGAGGGAGAACCAATGACAGAAAGTCCTACAGCCATTCTATCGTTCTATGTTCCTACTATGTTTTATTTAAATAATATATATGTAACAGTCAGCTTTTAAATATTAATGTCATTAGGAAAAAAAAAATTTTTATCTAATCCATAAAGCTCTGAGGAGACCTTATAGCACCTTTCAGTACCTAAAGGGGCCTACAAGAAAGCTGGAGAGGGACTGTTAACAAGGGCATGGAGTGACAGGACAAGTGATAATGGCCTTTAGCTGAAGGAGGGGAGATTTAGATGAGATATTGGGATGAAACTCTTCCCTGGGAGGTTGGTGAGGTACTGGAGCAGGTTGCCCAGAGAAGCTGTGGATGCCCCATCCCTGGCAGTGTTCAAGGCCAAGGTGGGAGGGGCTTTGGGCAACCTGGACTAGTGGAGGGTGTCCCTGCCCATGGCAGGGGGTTAGAACTGGATGATCTTTAAGGTTGCTTCCAACCCAAACCATTCTATGATTCTATGAAACAGTAAGAACTGTGTGATATATTTTTAAGTATATAAGTTACATAAGATCTTTCTACCCAAAACTAGTCTAGAGAAACAGCTTTTCCAGCAGGCTGAGCTGATAGGCTAGAAGCAACCTCCAAACCTCTAGCTCCTGAGGTTTCGAGTTAGATCATTAAATTATTCAATGAAGTTATCTGGTTTATGTTTTGCAAAAGGTAACTATCTGTCCAGTCTTGTCATCTATCTATCTATCTATCCACATATAAAAGAATAATATATTTGCCTATTTAATAGCAAACTAATTATACTACTTAAAACACCCTACAACATTGTACTCAAGAGAAACAAAATGTCTATTTATTAATGCATAAGCATAGATTACCAACAAGCCAGGTCCTTAGCTGGTGCTCCTGTAGCTTTGCTGAGCAGAGCATCTCATTCAACATTACGATTAACTCCTTCACCATTTCCAAAGCAGAGACTCAGTAAGAAAACTGTATGGATCAGCAGAGGGTCTCCCTTTTTCAGTCTCCAGCTTCCTGCTGGTCCCCTTGGCAAAAATGCTCCTTCTCTCTCTTCTCTCATTCCAGGTCATCAGCTCCTTTCAGATTTACAGTGCTCTGATGTACACACTTCGGGAGCTTTCTCTTATTTTCTAAGTTTTGATGCCTCCTTCATCAGCCTCCTTGACCTGTATTTCTTGTGAAGATGTTATTTCCTTCTTACCAGCGGCACTCCATTGCTTATTGCAAAAGTTGTTGGACGTATCATATTGCATCTCAGCAGGGACCTGGTTTAAAGGTGTAAGCTCATAAGGAGACATGAATGCGTATCAAAATAGGCCAGTAATAAACAAGAAGGAATTTATTCCTTTTTCTTGGGCCTGCATCCAACATGCTGCATAGGCTTTGTGCAACTTCTGTGCTTGAGAGTAATTTTACCGACTAAGAGCCCTCTCCATCACTGCAAATGGAAAAACATCAGCAGATGTGCTAAAGATCTTAAAGATGTATCCAAAGCTGGCCTGCAGATCAGAGATAGTTTTGCCTTTGCTAATAGAACCTAAAACCAGGCTACAATTTTACCAGCTTCTGGAAAAAAGTAACACTTGATTTCAGGCTTAACAGCATGCTAGAATAGTATTACCAGCTTTTCCCAGTTATTCAATAAAAATGAAAGCAGATCTGCTGATACAAAAATATTTTATAATAATATAAAAGGGAAAACAGCAAATTCGGACTTTTTACAAAACCTCTAATCTAGTCTATACTTTCTCTGTAATTCCTATATATGCCAATAGTTCCCTAAACATGGCATGGAATAGGTGCATGGAGGGAGGGTGGAGGGAGATGGAAATGAATCCATCTCTAATTAAGACCTCAGAACAGCTTTCTCACTACAAAAATGAATCAGTCCCGATGCTGCTAATGTGCAAGATAGGAATACACTTCCATATTTCAGTCAAAATACATGCTTCTATGTAATGAAGTTGTATCTAGATAACATGAAACTATCTTACTTGCTTCCCAGTCTCATTTGAGAAAAAAAAAAGGTGTACTTCCATCTTGGTTTAGACAGATAAAGTATAAATGTTTTCACATTAAAATAAAGAGCAGGGGGAGAAATAAAAGTTAAGAGCAAAACACAGGGGATAAAAACTTGGAAATTTTAAGGGAACTCACATGAACAATACCTAACATTAAAAACAGATTAGAGTCTAGCTTGGCAGCTGCTGTAGTAGAGCTCAGTTTGACACAATACATGAAGGGCAGAATCAGAAACACCTTCTGATCATATACACTAAAATAGCTATGCACTATAGTACAAGAACAAATTGTAACCATCTCTCAAAATGCTAATTGTGTTTGGGCTTAAAAGGGAAATCAAAGCTGAAAGAGATGAGAACTGGGCTTTTGTAATGCTGAGTTTGCCAGCTCCTCCAGTTTATCACAAATTCTGACCATTTCAGAGAGGCCTTGATCCACTATACCATCCAAAAAAACGAACATAAAATAATTATGTATGCCAAATAAGGAAAATAGTTACCTCCCACCCTATGAACATATTTTCCACTCAGAGATAAGCCCTGCATTCCAGGCATCACCAGTCACAGTACTGGCATAACCATGCCTTTGACCTGCATAGGCACAGAAATAATCCTCCATGATCTATTTTGATTCTTTTGTTGATGTTCAAGCCAAGGTTGATGCCATCTTTTACACAGACAACATGCAACATCTGAAAACTGGCATTACTTCTGTGTGAGAGCCACCGAACTCCCCAAACAAGGCTGACAGCCTGGTCTGCTGCCTATATGTATGTATATTGTGAGACAGCTTAAGGACAAGAAGTCTCTAATGAAAGCATCAGACTAAGTTACAGACAGTTACTTGTCTCTCCTAGTCCTTCTAAACCTATTTTCTACCAGGAAAATGAACCTCATATGAAGTATCATTTTATGCAGAAAGTTAATGGATCTTTCTTAGTCACTCAGTCAAATTTAATGTGATAATTACTTCTCATTTCACAAATGGGAATGACTGAGCAACAAAATGCGTACACCCAGAAGTGGACATTAAATGCAAGCTTTTTTTTTTCCCCACTGTAATGAGTGAGATGGCATGTTGAATACAACTCCAGAAAAAAATGAACAAAGTGAAAGGAAACACTGTACAGCCAGGAAAAAAAAAAAAGAAAAGCTGCATCTCAGGCCATTCCAAACAATGACTTTATTTTCTGTGGAACATCACCATGGCAGCCCCCACAGCAGCATCAACATCCTTCCCATAAACCACAGGGAATGGAAAAATCCTTTCCACTTCCTGCCTTAGCACCTCGTTCCTGGCAAGGGCACTCCCGCTCCCCAGAATCCTCCTCACTCCCGTCTCCCTCAGGCGGTGCACAGGTAACATGGAACAGAGGTTTTCAACGATGCCGCGGCACAGAGCTCTGGTTACGTGACCCAGGGAGAGGTCAGAGGCAGCAATATTGGTCACTGACGCGAACTGCTCGGGAACGTGTCTCTCTCCAAATATGGTTGGGTGGACTGAGAGCTTGCTGTCGTTTTGGGCCAAGGCTGCTTTGATTATCTTTGTATAGATGGCAGACCGCTGAACCTGAAGTCCTGCAGATGGGAAATATCACATTACTAATCATAAGAGGTCTAGCCTATCTTACACGTGGAGACTTAAATGGACGCTGATCAACCTGTTCAGCAAAATACTGTATATCTTCTTCCGTGTCCCAAAGGTAATTGTTTTTCCAGGATTATGAACCACAGATCTCCCACCCAATTGTATCTAGTACCTGTGAGACTAGAAATCTTTTTCTGATTACAGAAACTGCCTTTCCTGGTAATACAGCTATTCCTCTTTGCCTATACTATGCTAAGTTACACAAAACAACATCTTTAAAGGCACTAATGACAGACTTCAGCTTCAGTGGCTAGACTGCACGTGAATGCAAAGTTCACTTTGAGTATTCACTGAAAGAACAATTTCAGAGCTTATTTCTGTATTGCAAAACCTACGAGATTATAAAAAAAACCCTGTGAAGACCACGTTTAAAGCATTTAGAAGATATTACATGAGTGAGTCTTAAAAATCCATTAGAGTGCTGCAAAATATGCAGCAAAAGGCAACTGATCTAATCAAGGGACTCTTTTGGACTGCAGTCATACAAAATCAGAGGCTGTCCTCAAATTTGCTGACCTTTCCTTTTGAAAAACAACTTGCAAAAAATAATTCTCTTATGTTCTTGAAACAAAAGAAAACCCAAAACCTAGAGGCAATGTGAATGCAGAGTCCAGGCATGTCTGTCCCAGCATGTTCATAAGCTC